AAACACCCACTCGTTGACCACCAAATCTTCCTCGAAGAAAACTGTCGTCCAAAACTTCCCATTTATTACTATTACGAACTTCAGATGAAGTCCCACAACGAATGCATAACTGCAATAAAAAATAAAAAATTTAAGGAACACAAGAAAAATGAAGAGCGAGAACTGGAAAAAGAAAGGTAGACCTACCCGGCGAGAAGCCCAGCCAGCGGGGCGGTAAAGCCCCCGAAGAAGCTGCACACAGATGAGGCGCGCAAAGTCCCCATATTCAGCGTTAAGCTGATCAGACTCTTCTTGCGGCTCAGGCAGATCACTAGTGATCAGAGCACTTAACGACACGGCACCGGGATCACGAGGGGCCATTGTTAAGACGAAGAACGCACAATAAAAGAACAGGTGCCGGGTTTTCGAAAATAACGGCCAAAGAGCGCTCACGAGACGGACGGAAACAAAAGGTAATCGAAAAGGCCGAATTCAAACAGCCATAGAACGCAGCGAGAAGGAAGGAGGAGGAGAGAAAGGAAGAGTTGTTGAGAAATAAAAATCAACAAAGCAGCAAAGTTGTGCAGAAACAACAACTGCAATTTTTTTTTAAAGAAATTACACAAGACGACACTGAGAAAAGGAAACCAGACTACGACGCGGGAACAACAACGAAGACTCGCCGAGGGACAACATCAACATGAAGAAACTTCAAAACAAAGGCTAAGTGCCATAACCTAGAGAAGGTTCATAAGTTGTGTGATAGGTCTAGTTTCACAAATAAAGGTGTCACGTAGGTAGGACTAAGCAGTAGGAGACACCTAGGCTAGTTAAAACTAATCATCCAACAAAAGTTGGGTGACATGACAGTGTCTACTTTCGGAAATGTTGTGTGTTTCAGGTCACACAACAAACCCAGCATCAAGACAGCAAGACTAATTGTAGATAGGATAAGCATGGAACTCCGTGGTTGACAACCTTTTAGGATTAAGCTATTGAAATAAATAATTACAATGGCCCGGTAAGGTGTCATACTAATGCACTAGGAATGTGCTAGGAGGAAAGTCGTTTCTTTTTGTATGCACACTGAGTCAAGCCAGTAGGGTTGAATAATCCGTAAGTTTGACAAGGTGGAAGTTTTCAGGATTAAGTTAACAAAATCAAAAATAATAATTAGTTCTGTTTGTTTGAAGTCAAAATAAAATGTAAAGTCAATTCAAGTGTCTGTAACGGGAACAAAGGCGAAGCTCTTGACATTGTATAAAAATTTGATGAGCTTTTAAAAGAAGGGTGCTCTGAAAGGAAGGAATAGTGTAGTATTATGAGGTTTTACCCTACATAACCTAACCTGGTCACAGCAGACCACATCCTAATATAAACAAGTCACGGCCACTAGTGATCACTATGGAGCGACATCTACAGTTGAACACAGACCCTACCATTGTTAAACGATCGCCTTTGTTCTTCTTGTTGTTATGCCAAACACCCAATAAAAGGAGGCGCGGGCTTTGACTCGTCGCCATTCTCCACTCAGCTAACCTACTATTGTGACTGATTCGGCATCCCCTCGTGTTTCCCCCAATATTGCAATATGTCAAGAGGTTGCTAAAAGAAATTTTAAACTTATTAAAAAACAAACAAAATCATAATAGTTGCAGAGTCAAAGGCAACATACCACATCAGGATCACTTGTGCGTGTCTTTTTTACTTGCTTTTGTGTTTCACTTTCAATGTCTTTCTGTTTTTGTTTCAGAAATGAAGCGCTCACACAATAAGGTTTCCCATCTTCCCCTTCATTAATCACCAAGATACCACTTTCAGTCACATATCCATTTATTTCTTGGTTATTTTGCAACTGAAAAACAAAACAAAGTTTGAGTGGGTTCGATAGTTATCCTTAAAATTTTCATACACATGTTCATGAATGAAAATGAATCATAAAAACATACATCAGTAGAAGAGCTTTTCCCCTGGTCTGTTGCATCTACCTGCTTGAATAAACTTATAATTTTGCAAAGTTCTCTTCTTTGTCCATAGTTGATGTCTTTTTCAAAAAAAGAAAATAGTGATTGCATATCAAGTTCTAGGAAAGCTTCTCCGTTTACATCCTGATCTGAAACAAAGAAAAAAAAAAGAACAACATTAATTAGAAAAAATATTTGAACTTGGATATGTGAAATAGATCTAAATGAAAGCAAGCAAAAACTTATACACTTTTATGTACAATACTAAAATGTTGATTTAAAATTATTTTGGAAGAGATTCTTAACATAGAAATAGATTGAAAAATAGTAATGCTATGCTGGTGTTCTTACCTCCCCTCCCCCCATTCAATACAAAGCTAAAACACTTTATATTTAAGGCAGAGATATGCCTGATTAGTGGCACAGTCTCTCCATTTATTCATTGGAGGGTAGGAGGGCAAGTCTTTCAGATCAATAAGGTGAGGTATTCGAGCCATTTCCTCAGGTGTTATAGAATAAGCATTGAAGCGCTCAACCAGACCTCTATTATGCCAAGGCTCAACAGCAAACCATACTAAATCTGTTCCTTCAGGGCAAATCACAGCAACTATTTTCCCAAAGCATGGAAGACCAAAGTCCCCTGCTGGGTTATACAGTACAAAGTCTTCTTTTCTGTTCTCAATGCCAAGTTTCAGAACAGCAGTGCATACACTAATCTCGTCATCATCAGCAAATCCAAAATGTCTGAGATGGGGAGAAACAGGAGAATCCCTGACAAAAATTCTATGTCTGCTTACATATTCGACAGGCAGATCTACATCACTACTTTGAGTTCCCCAAACTTTAGCAACTCTAATTTGAGCTTGTTCCATTGCAGTTTTTTGAGGATTTATAAAATTATTACATGTAGCCAAGTGCCTTTTGCCTGGGCAGTTTTTGGCTTCCTCTCTGAAACACCAAAACTGTCTTTGGGGGCCCATAGACAAGATGTTTTCTGGGTAATGCATTAGATGGTGAAATTTGTTTATGGGGTTCACATCGGGAAACAAAATATACCAGCTGCGTCTGAATGTATCTAGTAATCTAGTAATGTGGGGGATTTCATCTCTTGGTAGTCTAGGGGCACTAATAAACTGAAAAATATTTAGTAGAAGTAAGATCTGAAGATATTCGTTTTCCTCATCAACACCACCATGATCTCCAATATCATTCAGAAGGAGAGGCAGGGCACGAAACAGGACTAAAATTTGAGCAGCATTCATCTTTTGCTTGTGAACAGTAGCAGCATTTCGTAGTGAATCAAGGGTGAAATTGTCACTTGGTCTATCCCTAATATTTTGCTTGCCATAATCATAGTTCTTAATTCTGTCATTCAATTGCTCAACAGTAAAAATTTCTTGTTCACAAATGAATTTCATCATACACAATCTAATAAGCATTAAAATTACGCCCTCAGGCCCGTCATGTAGCAAATCAAAATTTTCATTATCTTCAGCACGAAAATGTCCAAGTTCGTGGAGGCAAGTTGAGTACCTTACACCACACTGTGTACTGTAAGCAACATTTTGATTGACTCTCAGTAATTGCTGGTCTGTCATCTGTTTGGTTCTTCTTTCACCTAACATGATATTACCAAGATGAAGTTGGGGTCTGCTTATCATGCACAGACGACAAAAATGGCGAGCCCCACATGCAAGGAAGCCAAGTATTTCGTGAACTGCTTTACTATCACCTTTTACGCCAACTAAACAGCCTCTAATAATGACAAACTGTCCATTTGAAAACAACTTTACTCCTTCTTATAGAAGCCGAAGTTCAGCTACTTAACGGTGAAGAACCTCTTCAAAAGAGCCCTTACTATCAGCTGCATTTGCCATTATTATAGGAAATATAGAATCCAGAGAATCTTTTAGCCATGGAGGTAGGTTTAAGATGACAATGAAAAAGTTGTACACTTCATGAAGCCCACTTTTGGGTCCGAATGCTCGAGTTGCATCAACTCCATCGCCATACAAAACTAACTGAAATGCATCTGGGTGTTCCTGAAAGTATGGATGGCCTCTAAATTGATCTCCGTCCACATAACCACACAGCATGCCATTAGTCGAAGAACGTAAATTTCTAACATACTCCATCACACGTTGCTTTCGTACTACTAGCTTGAGAATTTCAACTATTGAAACATACTCGTATGTGTTAAGTACAGGCACCATGGCATAAGCACCGTCTTCCCCAAGACGTTGATCTAGCCTATTCTCAATAAAGCATGTCACAGGTTGAATATAGCTAAAATAGTTTTTGATACCAGATATTTGTCCAGTGTTTGACTTCATCCCTTTAAAGGGACTTTCCACATGAAATTTATTGAGAAGATCCTGTGCTCTTGGGGTATTAATTTGGCCATTCTGTTCTAAATAATTAGTGACGTTTGTCTTCAAAGATGAGCAAACAACATTAAGAACCTTTTCTGCTCCACACATGGCTCTGGACACTCCAACCCGAGTCATGGCAGCAACACTTCGCATTTCAACTATCATATTGACGGCTGCATGTCGAGCATCTCTTCGCCCATCGGGTAACAAAACCAAATCATTTAAACCATCGTCATCACTGGCAGCAGACTCATCAGAATTATTTTCATCCACAACCCTCCCGTCATTATTGGCATCCACATCCATCTGTTCAGCATTATTATCACGAACTTCTGCTAACTGGGGACCATGTATTGTAAGAGTATGCTCTCTCCAGCCCCGATAAGTGTGGTAGGGTGCCTCGCATTCTCCACAAACATATCCTTCGGGCCTGGCATCCGTAACGTTCAAACCATGCACTGTCTGAATGTGAGCGCGTACCCCAGCAAAGCCTCCAGCTTGTCTGACGTGACAGACTGGGCACTGAATTTGAGCGTGCTCCATTATTGTGGAAAATCACACACCAGATAACGATTAATGTACAAATTTAACTCCTGACGCCATGAAAACTTTTAGAAATAGCCAATTATGAGCAAACACACCACCTACCAAATTTTGACAGACATAAATGGGGCACACGATTTTACTAACCTTGCAAAGCAGTAATAGTATCCTCCTTGATTTGAGGGAATGTTCTCAGGAAATCGGCAAGCTCATCTTTAGAGTGAGAGGCAGAAACCATTTTGAAACACAATCTAATTTCCTGGAAACGAAAACAAGCAAGAAATTTAATGCAGCAATAACAACAGGGAATTTAATAACTTGTGGGGTGGTAAGGACGCTGACTCAAGTCTATCTAAATAATCTGCTCGATAATGCAAACGGTTCTCATCCCGTGCGTCTTGCAATTCTCTAGTTGTTTCAAGTGCTGTATTACTATAATAAATGCGATATCCTTCCTTTCCTCGCATTAGTCTCTCAATCACTAATGTATTTACAAAACTGGCGGAATCGTTTGTTTGGCACAAAATTGCTGCATCATGTGCATCCTCTTTGTCGATATCCTTTCCAAAGCAGTGATTAATTAATTTGTGGATGCCATCTACGACCATGTCTTTCTTCAAGTGGATCCTTGTTGAATCATTTTCGTTGGCAGTTCCATCACCCACCTTTCAAAACAAAAAGAATATATAATTGGAACTTGAATTTTTACCACAACACTACAACTCTGGAAAAACATAAATTTTTTTAGAAGCGGTACGTACCTTCAGAAGCCACTCGGCATACTCCAGATCCTCGAGTGCCCTTTGATTTATGGTCAAGGTGTATTTTTCAAAGAGCGGCCAAAGACTAGAAGAAGTCACTTCCGCGTCAACTATGTCTGCCCTACTTCCCCCGGGCACGACAGGCAAAATTTGATGGAAGTCACCACCTAGAATAATTATTTTTGAACCGAAAGGCTCTTCTTTGCGCATTACATCGCGTAAAAATCTGTCCAAGACGTGAAGGCCTAGACCTTCGTCTTCAAAAGGAAGACCAAACGCCCTATGGCTTGTCAGCGTTCCTTTTAAAAGATTCGCAGCGACGCCAGTATAAGCGGCATCAACAGCCTTTCTGCCCCGAGATCGCAGGTAATCTATTAAGGCATTGTAAGTGAACGTCTTTCCCGTACCGCCAGCACCGGTAAGGAAGAAAAACTTCTTTCCATTTTCATGGCTTACTGCTCCCATTACATCACCAAAGAAGCGCCGTTGGTCAATGTTAAGTCCGCGAATCACATTATCGGCTTCCGCAGGATTCAGAATGACGTCTCCCTGGTCAGGTTCGAAGTTGCGGCGGCCAAGAACATTATCGTCAAGTTCAGGAAGAAGGTAGTCTGAAAGGGTTTTCCCAAATTCACGAAGAATCTCTTCAATATCCCTTAGAGCAAGTTGATAAGCCAAGTCGTCATCGTCCTCGATCTCATGAAGGTAATCCTTAGATAAGTTTCTACGGTAATTGTCCCACAAACCTCTTGGGTTGATAGGGTTAACATTAGCAAGCAGCATGGCAAACGTCTTTCTCATAGTGCTTGGAAATTGCTCTAAGACTAAATTGTCCATGAGTAGACTCATTTCCTCTTCATTTTCTACTAAATTTAAAGCAGCACACGCGGACTTTAACGTTGGATGGATGTGACCTTCTACCGTTTTAATTTCAGCAAAGCCAGTTACATCCGTGCGATTGCACAAAAGCAGTCTTAAATGATAAACTTCTGAATTAAAATCGGTGCCTGCCAAAGGGCTCATGCGCCCAATAGTGTGGCGATTACTTCGCTTCCAAACTTGCCCTTCATATTTGTAGTTTTCTACTACATCCGTATACACTTTACGTCGGTGAGGTCCTGGCTGTCTGTTCAACTCAAACCACGCTGTTAATTTTGAATGTGCATGCCTTTCCTACGCATTCTCTTCACCACCATCTCTGTAAATAATAGTTTGTTCAAATTCCTCATGTACAGGTAAAACCTCAACCAACAGGTGGATAAATATGTGATTGAGAGGTGCCCATTAGATAATAATGGGCCTCATAGGGTCCCAACTGTCGCATCTCTTTAAATTCTTTTATTTCGTCATGATCGTATACCCCTCCCTCGGGGACATTACTAATTTTCTGTACCAAAGAAGTTCGCACTTTATTTCCAAAGCTGCCTTTCAATAGATATCCATATAAGTACTTGCAGCCTGAAGTGGATGGGCTGTACCTAACATTAAGGTGTCCCTTGTATCGCAACAACAACACTACATTGTGATCAATCACCCAGCGGTTGTCAACAAAGACGTCAACACCATTTATTCTTTTAAAAAATCCACGTCCATCATTAGGGCGACGATACAAAGGCCTTTTCTCTGTGATGTCGGTTGCATCTCTAAAGTCAAAGGGAAAGCCATGCTTACACTTGCCATTTTTTTTATGGCAAGGTGATGTGGAATCACATGGGCCATGCACCACAAATCTTTTTACCAATTGAAATAGTTCTGGATTTTGATCTTGATCTGGAAAGGAGGCAGATATTATTTTGTCGATATCTTCAGCGCAAGTTGGGGTGTCCTCTGGACGCATAATGTAAAGTCCATGAGTATGAGTAAGGCCCCTTCCCTGAAACTCGCGAACTATCATCTCGCCAACCACTTTGCCAAAAATTTGCTCCCGCACTAAGTCGGAATAAAGCTGAGTGGCCCTCATTTCAAACGCTCTGTTTATGACATCATATCTAAAATTTGGATCCGTATTCGTTCTATTACATTCGTCAACAATCTCCTTCCATTTCCTATTGCAAGTAAGTGTGATCAGCGAAGAAGGGTGTCCAAGCTTCTGTGATACGGCCAAAGCGTCATAAAATAGATCTTTCATATGTCTTGCTGAACCATAAATGCCTGGAGGCAAGATGACTATTCTGCCAATCCGCTTATTTTGACGCATTCCTTCCTCCTGGATAAATTTCTGCATTGTGCATTTAGTGACTAAGACATTCATTTGTTCCCTTTCTTCTTCTCTGATGTTGTGCATGTACTGTTTCCATTTTCTCAATAAAAACTACTTCTGTGTGAACTGTGAAACTGAGTATGTGTCTTATTCTCCTACTCAAATCCTCATCAAGAAGAATTAAACAGCACATAAATTCTATCAATGCATCAGAACTTGAAAGAGGGTATAAGTAAAGACTTAGGAACAACTAGTATTTTAAAGCCTTACCACAAAGTTAAACAATTATGGTATTTCTCTTAGTTTGAGGTGCAAGAAAATTTAAGCAAATGGGGTGTGACCATTAAATTGAAAATAAAGCAATGATGCATTACAAAGTATTTATTGTAAATTGTAAAAAGTAAATTTTAAAAAATTACAATGAAGGAGTTGTCATTGTAAAAGAGTAAAATGCAAAATTTAAAAAGTTACAAGATAAAATAAAGAGTATAAACTCGATTAATTTAAGGAGAGCTAGTTGTCCACGTACAGATCAATGACTCGCTGCACATTATTTTTGCACATGGCAAGTTTCATCAGGGCCACTTTCCTGGTTAGCCCCATGGCTGTTAGGATGCTCAAATTTGCTTCAATCTCATGGTTAGAAATGGTTCCTGGATAAAAAGAAATCAATTAGAAATTTACATAATGTGCGCAGACAATAGACCAACAAGATTGTAATAAAGTGTTGAGCATGCTAAGAATTAAGATCATCATAAAAAAAAATCATGACTCATTAAGAAAAAAGTTGTGGTATGGGATGTTAATCAAAAATCATTGTTTAACATAAAATTACAAAACCCCTTTAGTCAAAATACAGTTTGTTTGATTCTGATTCATTAAAACTTCATAAGAGAATATTAAGCCCAATATTGCTTAGAGAATCAGTGGCAGAACGCAATCTTTAAAGTAAAACTACCAACTTCTTCTATCCTCTTCTGGGATTAAGAAGATGATTCAATACCTAAAATCTATTTTTTTTTTACTATATACTACCATGTTGTCACAATAATTTTTGGTTGAGTGACAGAACTATTTATCAAACTAAAGTACATATTTTTAGAAATGTTTTTAATTAATTGTTTTTGGTTTGGTTTCAAAACAATACATTTGTTCATAGATGAATCTGTCATCAAGCTAAATGTCATCATGCGTGACAGCTATTTTTCAAAATAACTAAATGGTCAGAGGCCCCAGAAAAAGACACAAAGAGGCCTATTTGTTACTTCGAATCTTGAACAGGTGGTACACATAAATTGGGAAATACATACCATAGGCAAAGGTGCTCGTATAGCCTAGAGCTACACTGTTGAATGCATTCATGTCAGTTCTCATCATCGCACCGGCTTCAACATTTAATGGCGATCCAGGATTTGGTTGAGCTAGCAGTCCCCTAAGCCCCTCAAGAACCTCGAGAAGGGCCATTCCAGGAAGCCTACATCAAAACAATAAGGGTTAAGTCAAAATAAAGTTTAACAAAGCAGATAGGCAGGCTGAAAATAATATGATTGGTTCTCATAAATTGCTGATAGTTACCATGCATCCCCCACATCTAGGATATCAACACATATTTTCCCAGCATGAGAAATATTGGGGTGCCAAATCTTAGTTAGCATTGAGATCTGTACAAGGGAGTAAACAAAGACACCAATGTAAATAGGAAAGTAAAGACAGATAGATTAAACTATTTCAAAATAAGGGTACATAAATTGTCTTACTTTGGGTGGATCCATGGGATAATCAGGAGGCATTATAATTTGCACCAAAAATTTACCAGTTGCGTATGGGGTGCATTCAGGGCCATCAATTTGAACAGTGAATTGCTTCATGTTATCACTTGGAATTAGGTGTATGAAGCCAGTGTCCTGGAAGAGTAGGACAGATTAGACCCTGACAATAACACATTTTCAACAGCATGAATGTTTGGCATTCTGCGTGGTTC